CGAATGTAGCAAACATATAAAATACGCCCAGTGGGATTTTTTTATAGAAAGATTAAAAATACGGGATAAGTACGGGATGATAGCAGGGTAGAATGGTAAAATACGGGAGAATCCCGGGAAAAACAGGAGGGTTGACAGGTATGCCCCAGTGACCAGTTGATATGCTTTGAATACAATAATATACAAGCCAAAATTATTAGAACAGTAGTATTTTCAGCAACTAAATTTTTTTTTTAAGTCAGTTATTTCTATCTTTTGCTGTAGTGTGTCAGTAGGAAACATCAGTTTACATTTCCAAACATTCATTTAGCCATTAATTGTAATAATGCAGTGAGATATATGTTTGTGCTCCACACAGAGATCTGATCTGATCATCATCAGTCTGTCTGGAGTCACATGAAGAAACAGAGCAAACTGAGACAGACTCAATCCAGAAGAACTGTGGCAATGTCTCCAAGATGCTCATTCACAGCTTGATATTAATTTCAGCCGTCCAAAAAATGCTTTTCCAGAAGTGGTCTGGCTTTTTTAGATGTTTTTAGGGAAAGTCTAACCTGGCCTTGTTTGCAGCTTGTGGTGAAGCCTCTGTGTTTGCTCTGGTGAAGTCTTCTCTTGATTGTAGACTTTGACAGAGACTCGTCTGCCTCCTGGAGAGTACTCTTCTCTTGGCTGGATGTTGTGTGAGGGTTTTTCTTTACCATGGAGAGGATTCTCCGATCATCACCACTGTTGTCCCCAGTGGACGTCCAGGCTTTTTTATGTTGCTGAGCTCACCAGTGCGTTCTTTTTTTCTCAGAATGTACCAAACTGTTGATTTGGCCGCTCCTAATGTTCCTGCTATCTCTCTGATGGATCTGTTTTGTTTTTGAAGCCTAATAATTGTTTGTTTCACTTGTATGGAGAGATCCTTTGACTGCATGATGTGGTTCACAGCAACAGCTTCCAAATGCAAATGGCACACTTAGAATCAACTCCAGATCTTGTACCTGCTTAATTGATGTAGAAATAACGAAGGAACAGCCCACATCTGTTCATGAAACAGCTTTTGAGTCAATTGTACAATTACTTATGGTCCCTTGAAAAAGGGTGGCGGTACATATTAAAGAGCTGTAATTCTTTAACCTTTCCTCCAATTGTGATGAGAATACCCTCAAATTAAGATTCATTATATAACTGTAACTTGAATATGTTTTGGTCAACAGCTAAAATAATAAAAATTGTGTCAGCTATACCTAACTGTATATATACATACACACTCAAAAAGATTTCCTTGTGTTATTTTTTGTTGTGCAAAATTTGTTTTTAGAGTGTAAAAATATATCACTGTGATGTATTTATCATGTATGACACATATTTACATGTATTTATTTAGCAGCTTCTTTTATCCAAAGTGATTTACACATTAGGAATACAACAAGTGCTTATATATAAAAGCGCAATATTTTTTCCTGTATAAAATGATTACTATTATTTTAGGGTTTTATTTCACCTACGTGGGCGTTAGGTCTGTGTTCTGTGGCCGCTAGTAAACTTCTGTCACTATCAACCCCCATCAAATCCCTGCACTAGTAAACCACACGTCTGCTGCCCGTCTACACGCAATATCCCTGTAAAGTAGATTGCACAATATGGAGCGGATTCACAAGACTACAGAAATAAAATCAGCCGTCCAATCAAAGTAACTAGGGGTGAGTTTGTCAAGACAAGGCCTTAGGTGAGGGATGTTCCAATTCTACTAAATCAGTTTACCTAAAAGTCTTAGGAGGGGGTGGTTTACCTAGAAAACCTGCTAGCATGATGACAAGGGAAAGCCTGCGTAAAGGTCTGAGCCCAGAGAAAATGCCAGTAAGCAACATGTGCTCTAATCTCGCACGTTAGTCACTGGAGAGGATTACGTCGAGCAGAAAGTGTTTATGCTGCACTTTAAAGCCATAACACTGAACAATGCGTTCCATTCGAACGCAGAAATGGCTAACATTGTTCTGCGTGTCATTCACATTCCCTGCTGTTGCTGATTCGTGCGTTTAGGCGGAACTGAAATGCATGTCGTATAGTCATGGTGGTGCATTGACAGGCGTAATGTTACGCGTTGCATCACCTTTGGCGTTGTTCATGAAAGGAGATTTACATGACCCATGCATTTACATAGTTTCCTTTTATCTTGGTTTTAGACACATTATAGCAGCGCGCTTCCCTTCCTGGCCACCTGCTGTAACTTCTGCTGTCAAAACAGAAATGCAAAAAAGCAGCAATGATCATGTTTCTGGGCTGCGCCCAACATGCACTCGCCGTCAGCGTGTTTTTGGCTTTGCAGCGACTCGTCCAGCAGAGCATGTTCACGGATCTCTGGCCTGCTGCCAGTTTAGGCTTGGTTTGTTTTTCCACGGATGGGTGAGGTACGTGCCTAACTCTCTTACTTCCTCATGAGTGCCTGCAAAAACAAGTCCCACTCGGTGCCTGCGGCTCCTGAATCGCTTCGCCCGAGAAAATTAGCTTTGTGTGCTGATCGGAAAGACGTTCAGACAGACGGAGCGCGGGGAAAAACTGTGTTGCTGCAATGTTGACATAATTCCCTATTTCATTGTGCAACATAATCGTAATGTTTGCTTTCATTTTGGAAGAGCTTCACCTATGACCTACATGCAGCCAAGCAAAATTATTGGCCAACTCACTTTCGGTCATGCATAAATGTAGTCTCGCGTAGCCAGACCTTCAGACTTTAGCCAACGGTCCGTGGGCGTGACGTCTGAGGCTGAGACTAGCATAAATGACCCTAAAAAAAACTAAAATTTGGAAAGGCAGAACCACGTGGTCTTCACTAAGGGACTTTCCATAATTTTGCCAGCCGTCATGAATCACATGCTCTTGGCAGGCATGAATCAGATTTTGAGGCTGAACGAAGTCCAGCGCGGATGAATAATCTACCAGCGTGGATATTCCAGACACACACGGCTCCCAAGTGCACTACTGATTAAATCAGTAAAAACTCCCTAAGAACTGCTGGGAAGTCAGAAGCTCATTCCAGCGGTTGTTTTTTTTTTTTTTGCATTTGAGGTTATGGAAGAGTTAAAGGGATGCAGTGGCGCGTGACGTTGCGTTGGCAGGCGCACCGGAATGTGAGGGTTTTAATATCACATTTACTCACAGCCATCAGTAGTGCACTTAAAACGGTTTTGTGCATCCATTGCATTGGATCTCCAGTTGGGTCATTGCTGCTCTGCAGAACCGTATGAACTCTGCAACCTTTAAAAGTCAATAAAAGTTGATTATTTACACAAAATTGGATGCCAGACAGGATAGAAATAAAGAGCACACATTTACTCAAAGAATGGAAGTTTTGTCATTTTGATAACTAATTACAGGATGGAATGTATTAGAGTGACGAACCAACTAATAGCTCAGAATAACTCATGAAATCCATTGCAAATACTTACTGTTGTTTGCTCCTGGAGAATGATTTCATTGTCTTTTGGATATTACCAGACTTTTGGATATTATAAGACTAACAGGATGGAAAGTGATATTGACAACATAGAAAAACTATAAAATGATTAGAGAGTGATTAATGTTCTGTTTGATCAAATGTTTCCATCTTTAAAGCTTGAGAGTTCAACATTTTATCCAAAATATTAAGACATGTATGCTGGGGACATGGAAAGTCTGATACCCATTTGATCTTTCTGTCAGAGAATGAAATATGTGATACGGTTTGTTTACTTTAATAATTGAACGTCTTAATTACATATATATATATATATATATATTGCTCATTTTAGATATATTTTCCCATATTTGGATTGGATTTTTGGTTACCATTGTATTGGATCTGTAATTGGGTTATTACTGTTCCGCAGAACCTTATGAACTCTACAACCTTTAACAAATCAATAAAACTTGATTATTTACACAAAATTGGATGCCAGACAGGATAGAAATAGAGAGCTAAAGTTGCTCTCTGGATTGATAGATTAAATGAGGATGGAAGTTCTTTATCTTATTTTTTAACCATGTTTTGACATTTTGATATTATAAAACCAATTTCAAACATGATGTAATATATTAGACTGACAACACAAATAATACATCAAAATAACTCCATTGTAAAAAGGTTCAATGGGACATCTTTTTTCAGTCATCTCAATGGTAAAAAGTGTCCCAATTTACCTGAATTCACCTTAGGCACTGTTGTTTGTGAGGTTATTTCCCCCACAGGGTTACTTGAGAATGATTTCATTGTTGTATGGATATTATCAAAGACTAACAGGATGGAAAAAGATATTGACAACACAGAAAAGCTATAAAATGTTTCATATTCTGTTTGATCAAAGATTTCCATCCTTAAAACATGTGAGTTCAACATTTTATCCAAAATACTAACACATGTATGATTGGAAAATTAAACTGCATAGCAGGAAACCCAATCAATCTTTCTGTGAAGAGAGTAAAATATGTGACTCTGGAGCACAAAAGCAGTCTTAAGTCGCTGGGGTATATTTGTAGCAATAGCCAACAATACATTGTATGGGTCAAAATTATAAATTTTTCTTTTATGCCAAAAATCATTAGGATATTAAGTAAAAATAATGTTCCATGAAGATATTTAGTACATTTTCCTACCGTAAATATATCAAAACTTAATCTTTGATTAGTAATATGCATTGCTAAGAATTTCATTTGAACAACGTTAAAGATGATTTTCTCAATATTTTAATTTTTTTGCACCCTCAGATTCCAGATTTTCAAATACTGTCCTATCCTAACAAACCATACATCAATGGAAAGCTTATTTATTCAGTATAAATCTCATTAAAAAAAAAAGACCCTTATGACTGGTTTTGTGGTCCAGGGTCATAGATGTAATATAATTCGTTTACTTTACTAATACGATACGTTTCCCCCATTTTTGTCGATGCTTTGATCGCTTCTCCACACCGTCAAACGAAGCTTGCAAAGACACGCTCTCGTCGAGGAGGGAGCGCAGCGCGCATGCGCAGAGTAAATAGAAGCGGCGCGGTGACGTCACCGCTCCCACACCGAGAGCTCGCGGACGCGTTGTGGAGTGCGCACACTGCCATGAACTTCGGAGCGTAACTTCGCCGTTTTTCTCGGTGGGAAACTACAACGAGATTTATCTTTTTTTCTCCCCCTCATCAGAACGCGCAACATTCGGAGAATCTAGTTGCATATTTTGTCCCTCCGTTTCCAGCAGCATGTCGTCCGCGGCGGTCGCTGCCTCGCGCAGGCAGTCGTGTTATTTGTGCGATCTGCCCCGCATGCCGTGGGCGATGATCTGGGATTTTACCGAGCCCGTTTGCCGCGGATGCGTCAACTACGAAGGAGCGGACCGCGTCGAGTTTGTGATCGAAACCGCGCGGCAGCTGAAACGCGCGCACGGATTCCAGGAGGGCAGATCACCGGGAACGCTGGGCAAACCGGGGAAGGACATGCAGAACATGAACCACACGGAACCGGGCTCGCGTGCTCCGCAGCCGCTGGATCGCTACCCGCTCGCGTCGGAAAGACCCCCCAGACTGGGTCTGGAGTACCAGGGGGGGCGACAAGCGAACGGGATCCCGGTGCCGAACGGGTTTCCAAAGCCCGACGAGCCTCCGGAGCTGAACCGCCAGAGCCCGAACCCGCGTCGGACCGGCGCCGTGCCTCCTAACCTGCTTCCGCTGGTCAACGGGGCCATGCATGCGCTCAACGGGAGATCCGTGCAGATGGGGATCCCCCCGGTTGCGTTAATGGCGGAGCATGTGGGCAAACGCGCGGAAGACATGAAGGACAAACACCGCGCCGACAGCATGAGCGACGCGAGCGACGGACACAAGGACTGGACGCAGAAGGGCAAGACGGTGCGGGAGCTGATGACGCTGCAGAGCCTCGACTCCCGGTTCAAGAAGGAGCACGCGCCGCTGGCGCACAGGATGGCATACGAGAGCAGCTCCAGTGCCTTAAAAACAGGTACTGAGCAGTGCTTTCAAGCGGAGTGTTAATCTAAATGCATCTTAATGCATGCATGTAGTCTTTAAAATAAAGTGAAGCATCAGAAAATACGTATAGCCTTTAAGATTTATGCATCATCTGAAAGCGGAATAAATAAGCTTTGCATTGATGTATGGTTTGTTAGGATAGGACAATATTTGGCTGAGATGCAACTATTTGAAAATCTGGAATCTGAGGGTGCAAAAAAATCTAAATATTGAGAAAATCATCTTTAAAGTTGTCCAAATGAAGTTATAAGCAATGCATATTACTAATCAAAAATTAAGTTTTGATATATTTACAGTAGGAAATTTACAAAATATCTTCATGGAACATGATCTTTACTTAATATCCTAATGATTTTTGGCATAAAAGAGAAATGGATCATTTTGACCCATACAATGTATTGTTGGTTATTGCTACAAATATACCTGTGCTGCTTATGACTGCTTTTGTGCTCCAGGGTCACATGGGCTATAAGTATTATCTGATGCTTCACTTTATTTTAAAAACTACATCCGTGCATCTAAAATTGTTTTTTTTTAATACATAACTAGTCAACATTTAGAGTTACCTGCCAAACAAAAATTACTGTGAAGCATATTTTATTAGATTGTATTTTTTTTAAATGTAAATAGACAATTGTTTTATTCAGCGGTGTGTTTAACTGATTTATTTAACAATGTAACGCCTAACTGTATTTTAGAATTTTGGACTATTGTAGATTTGAAATGTCTTTTATAACTTTTTGTTAATTGTATACCTTGTATAATTTATTCTGAGGTTGCCATGAAAATAGCCTTGATGCTGGCATGGCATTAAAAAGTGAATAAATAAATAAAACTAAATCAACATTTAGAGTAGTTTAAACCATCCGAGCATGCTTTTAAACTTTAGATTTAGTCTCCACATTCTTATTTTTAACTGTTCAATCTTTAAAATAATGCTGTAAGACGTATTTATATGTGCATTCGGCTTTTAAAACATCAAAACATAATTTTAAACTCTAGATTTTGTGTCCACACTTGTATTTTTTTTAACTGGATTTATTATTTAGATTAATTTGAGATGTCAAAGCATGCTGTAAAACTCTGTATTATTATTAGTTTACACATGCATTTGTGTTTAAAACATCAGTGCATGTTTTCAAACTCTACATATTGTGTCCACTTTTAAACTAGAATAAATTTTTAGAATAATTTGAGGTGCCAAAACATGCTGTGAAAACATATGCATTTGTGTTTAAATCTGTATAAAACATCCGAGCATGTTTTCAAACTCTAGATCATGCATCTTGATTCCTTTTAGTTTATTATTTTGTACCTGCATTCTTCAAAGCATGCTTTAAACTCTCTAGATCATGCATTCGTAATGTTTGGGAGCATAACAGATGCACTTCGCTGCCATTTCATCATCCGGTGGTCGGCGCATGGCACATTTTGTCTGGAATCAGAAAATAGTGCCAACAGCAGGTCATGCACGAAGCGCTGAACTAGCAAAGGGCTGTTTAGTCAAGTATTGCGTCTCTAAAGCCTGGAATACACTACATGAATTTTGCCCTGATTTTCTACCGAGTTACAGTCTGGAGAAGTTGACGCTAGTTGCCGAAAGTCAAAGCCACTCTGCAGATTTGAGTTGACCGATTCCATAGAAAATCGCGTAGTGTATGATTGTCACAGACTCTGATTTTTTAGCTTCAGACTTTGATTCCATCCAGTCGGAGGAGATCAAACATGTTTGATATTTTCAGCAGATTTTAGAACACATACTGTTTTCATTTGTCAATCGTCTCCTAGCAACAAGGCGCACGTTTCTGCGCGAGTTTGTTGTGATCGGAACAATTTCAAAGTAGGGCTGTCAAAATGGCTGAAAAACTAAATTTGAATTTGTACTTGAATATTATCAAAATTCGAATTATATTCGAATTTAAAATGCATCATTTCAGCTAGGGTGAAGAAAAGCTTTTGGCTTCTCTCCTGAGGCCACAAGAGGGCGCATAATTCAAAGCATAAGATAACATGACTATCTGCGAAAAAAAGTGCATAATGTTTAAAATAATGTTTATAAACCAATTATCACCTAAAATTCGAATGCAACGTTTTTGCATTCGAATGTAGATTTGTATTTTAAATTCGACTAATATTTTAAATTCAAATTTTTTTTTGACAGCCCTACTTCAAAGTGTGCTAGTGTATCATCCTCAGTCGTGTAGTGTATGATGGCTAGTTTTCCTCTGTCACTATTTACAAAGTCGGTAAGTGTATCATGCCTAGTGTTTTAAAAATCTGTTCAGATTTTACAAGTCGTGTAGTGTATTCCAGCCTTGAAGAATAAGTCCACTTCCAGAATAAAAAATTCACCCCCATGTCATCCAAGATGTTCGTATCTTTCTTTCTTCAGTCGCAAAGAAGTTTTTTGAGGAAACCATTCCAGGATTTTTCTCCATATAGTGGACTTCAATGGTGGCTAGCGGATTGAAGGTTAAAAACGAAGTTCAGTGCAGCTTCAAAGAGCTCTACACGATCCCAGCCGAGGAATAAGGGTCTTATCTAGTGAAACGATCGGTCATTTTCTGAAAAAAAATCTTATTTATTAACTTTTTAACCACAAATGCTCGGCTTGTTCTAGTTCTGCGATGCGCGTCTTCACACATTACGTAATCATGTTGGAAAGGTCACGCGCGGTTAGTTCTTCGTCTTTGTACTTCGTTTAAAAACTCCATCTCTTTTTCTCCTCCAACTTTAAAATCATCCGACATCGTTGTTTTACCTTTTTTGTAAAGTGCATTTGACTTTCTTTGCATGTTTTCTTTGTAAACACTGGGTCGGTACTTCCGCCTACGTCACGCGTGACCTTTCATTTGTGGTTAAAAAGTGTATAAATATAAACTTTTTCTAAGTAAATGACTGATCGTTTCGCTAGATAAGGTCCTTATTCTTTTGCTGGGAATGTGTTTGAAACTACATTTTGGACCTTGAAATCGTTGGCCACCATTGAAGTCCACTATATGGAGAAAAATCCTGGAATGTTTTCCTCAAAAAACTTAATTTCTTTGTGACTGAAGAAAGAAAGACATGAACATCTTGGATGACATGGGGGTTGTCCCCCCTAAAAATATAATTACAAACCAATATATTGTAATAATACAATGGACATATACTTAAAATAATTGTGTTAGTAAAACAATATAAACGCAAAAAAAAGCTCCCCTCCCTTGCCTCACAGTGGTTTGGTCCACTGCCTGCTTTCCCCCTTTACCTCACCGACACACACACACACACACACACACAAGTCCGGCGTAGAGAGCAAAGTAAGTAGGCTGTCAAGGCTACTTTATTCACTTTAAACATCGGATGAAGTCATTCTTTCTCTTTAATACAGATTATGCTGGATTATTAATAAATTAGTCATGACAAAAATCATGATATCCGATGTATTTTTCTATGAGCGATTATAAGGTTACCTAGCTTAGCTTGTTTAATACCGTAGCTTGTTAGATAGTAAGTCACGCACTACAACTAACACGGCGATAAGCCTGTGTGTGAACCGATATTAGGCTAATATTGCAGACCTACCGATGTGTTGGGTTTTGCTCAATATGATGGCAGATCAGTGGGCTTGCTGCGGCTGAATATCTAACGTTAAATACGAGACGTCCTCAGTCCCAGACGAAACCTAAAATACTATGTGGAGGACACAAAATAATTTAATAATTATAATATTGACCGCATGGTGAACCTATGAACAGAACTCATATTTAAACACGGTCTCCATGCTATGCATGTACACATATCTATCCTTGCAAGTACATTTTTGGCTGTATTATTTGTGTCCCCTTCCAAAATTGCTCTTGAGAAATTTTATGTTTATTGTTCCCCCCCTACTGTTAGATGAAATGTACGCCCTTGCATGTGGGTGAGCAAATTATCAGGAAATCTTTACTATGAAAGTGAACTTATCTTTTAAGTGTTTATTGCTCTCTCTCCCTGCAGATCGCGGTAAGCACTCTCGAGGCCTTAAAAGGAAACCCTCTCCCGAGCCGGACGGGGAAAGCAGCGCCGCCAAGCTAAACGGCGAGAATCAGCCGTGGTTGCCGTCTCCGTCCGAGGTGCTCAAGATGCCCTTGGGATTCGCCGCCGCTCCTCCCTCCACGATCTCCCCGCATTCGCGCACTACACCGCCAGAGGCGTCCACTGCCGCGCAAAACGGCCAGTCGCCGATGGCCGCGCTAATTATGGCCGCGGACAACGCTGGAACCGGCTCGCCTAAAGACACCGGAAACCAGGTGCACTCCACGACCGCGGGACGCCGGAACAGCGGAAGCCCACAGTCGCCCTCGGCTGGACAAAGGCGGCTCACGCTGGGAACGTCGGCGACCGTGCACATCCCAGGCATGGACCCGCAGGCCGGGCATCCGCAGAGCATTCCCGATTCCTCTGTGCCGCCCGGAAGCGTGCCGTTGTGCTGCACCCTGTGCCACGAGCGCCTCGAGGACACACATTTCGTCCAGTGCCCATCGGTGCCGTCGCACAAGTTCTGTTTCCCATGTTCCCGCGAGAGCATCAAACAGCAGGGGGCGATGGGAGAGGTTTACTGCCCGAGTGGCGAGAAATGCCCGCTTGTCGGATCCAACGTACCCTGGGCGTTCATGCAGGGCGAAATAGCCACCATATTGGCTGGGGACGTAAAGGTTAAAAAGGAGCGGGACCCTTGATTTTTCTTTTTTTTTTGGCGCATAATATCCCCCAGGTTAAAAAAAGTACACTTCCACAATGTACTTGTGAAACGATTAATCACGATTAATCGCATCCAAAATGAAGGTTTTTGTTTACATACTATATGTATATATAAATACAATCAAACACATGCATGTATATATTTAAGAAAAATATGTTATGTTTATATATTAAATAAATATATTTATATATAATATAAGAATATGAATATATAAATGTAAATATTTTCAAAATATATACTGTATGTGTGTGTATTCTATATATACAAAATAAATATACACAGTACACATACATATATTATGTAAACAAAGTGTTTATTTTGGATGCGATTAATCGCGTTTAATCATTTGACAGCACTGTACTTAAAGTGCTCTATTTTTCGCGCACTAATTTTGTACTTAATATACTAAAAGTGATTCTTTAGTACTTCTTAAGATCGACTAAGTGTACTCAACTGTGCTATTTTGGGACACCATGAATATGAACTAAAATGCGCTTATAACATACTATCTCTGTATTTAAAAATGTATTTAGTTACCACTTGAATCCATCTTTCATACACTAGTACACTCAAGTGTACTACACTTAATAAATTTTTTAAATACAGAGATAGTATGTTAAAAGCACAGTTTAGTTCATATTCATGGTGTCCCAGAATAGCACAGTTGAGTACACTTTGTCAATCTTAAGAAGTACTAAAGAATCATTTTTAGTATATTAACTATAAAATTAGTGCGCGAAAATAAACCACTTTAAGTACATTATGGAAGTGTACTTTTTTTTTAACCTGGGCCACCAATCGTATTGCATACCATCCAGACGTGAACTAACCGGACATGTACATATTGAACTTAAGGGAACTGTACACTTGGTAAACATGGCTGTATAATTTTTTTTGATTTTCCCTTTTTTGAATACATTGTGTTTCTATATTTTTTCTGAAGATAAAACGGTATGTACGCGCTATAACAACCCCCCCCCCCCCATTCAGTGGTTGTTCAGAGCGAACGCTCGGTGTACTAGTAGACCTGGTGGCAGTCCATGTTTAAACACAGAATGTGACTAATACTCTTTAAGCACTTGGCAAGAACTGAAACGCTTTTAGCTGTATTGTATGCACTTGTTTAAAAATTGCCAAATACAATTTCTGACCTTGTAATAACAATCTGACGTGTGTGTGTGGTTGGCTTATTGTCTGCCCTCACTGAATCATACGACGCGGATGATGCAACGACCTCAATGAGTGCGAAAAGGGAACTAAAAAAACACAAGCAGCAGCTCGGGAGATTTTGTCCTGGTGCATGCTGGGAGTTCATCGACTCAATAATGGTAGCTGATATCATGACTGTTTGCAAAGCTAAAGTAACCCGAGAATGCTTGAATTTGGAAGAGTATCTCTGTTTTTTTTCTCCTCTAACACGCAGGCTGTGACTTGTATCGCACATTGTTTTCGGACTCCATGTGGAGTAACCTAACGCTGCGTGCAAGACGACTCTCCGCGTCTATTTTTACTCGCATGCTGTGCGTTGAGGAGCTCATAAACAATCTTTCCTTTGGCCTTTTTTGGTGGATAAAGACCTGCGATGTTAAACATTACGGCTGCGTTAGGATGACATGCATTTTAGCATCTGAAAAGGCTAGTTCATGCTTCAAAAATACATTTATTGGTAACTTAGTTAACAAAATACTTCTAAAGCATTTATTAATCGTAGTTTAATTTAAATTCCAACATTTACTAATACATTCAACACATTAAGTTGAATTTGTAAATATTATTGTAACAAATGTGAAGCTAATTTTTTATTAATGCATTAATGGAAGCAAGTAATTTTATGCATGTCTTGTGCATAATTTAGTAAATGTTTCAATGGTAACGCTTTACAAAATGGTCTAGTGAGTTATTAACTTAAAATGAGCTTATTAACTGAAAACATTTGATTTAATAATGTATTAGTAATTGGAAATGTACATTAACTAAGATTAATACATGCTTTAGAGGTATTTGTCATTTGTTAACTAACGTACTTAACTAATGTAAACGAATAGAAACACTTGAGCTTGTTATTTCTTAGTCTTGCACTAAGCGGCTTTTGTTTGATTTAATGAGAACAGTCAGATTGAACTGTTCAGTTTCATCAATTATTGTAGATTTCAACATTTAACAATACTTTCAACAGATTACGTTAATATTATGTACATGTTTTTATGAACTAACAATGAAAATATTTTATTGCTCATTGTGAGTTAATGCATTAACTAATGTTAACTAATGGAAACACTCGAGCTTGTTTTCTAGTCTTGCACTAATCGGCTTTTGTTAGATTTAATCAAATTGAACTGTTCAAATGCATTAATTATGGTGCAGGCTTAAACCGTCGAGCTCTATTATCTGAGGTGCGCTGTAGCATATGCTTAATAAAATGTGTCGGATCACGTGGTCGCTGTGCTGGAATTCCTGAGTCGCGCTCGGTCGCCCGCCTCCCTCTTCACTGTTCTCACACAGCACTCAAATGAATGGAGATCTGTTCTTACACAGGTCACATGTATTCCAGTTAACCCTTTCACCACCGCCATGACCTGGAAAACAGATTTGGCTTATATAGCTGGAATATTTTAATTGCTTTTTCATTTTTAGCCATCGAACATCTTCAAATTGAAAGTTTTTTTTTTTTTTGGTGCATATTTGTTTTTAGCCAATTAAAATGCATTGGCAAGCATGCATTGCAAAATACGTCATCATAACACGCTGGCAACAAGCAGGTATTTGTATCCAAATCAAAAGCAAACATTGATCGGATGATTCAGACGGCATGAGCTGCGGTCGCCTGGAGGATTCCAGCCATGCCGTCTTTTCAGCGTTCATCGAAACTCAACACCCCGAGGGGGAAAAGACTCTCGTCAGAGATGAATCGCTCTACTCCAGTTACGCTGCAGCTCTTTCTGTCTTTTGTTTGCACAGCTGTCCCGCCCTCCCTCACTGGTTAGCGTCAGATGGATGTTTTTTACCTTTGAGATTTTTGTTGTCGTCTTATATAAGGTCATTTTGTTATATGCACTTCTGTTTTACTTAAAAGCATGCATGCGTCCAAAAATCTATGCAATGCAAATGTGGCGAAATCGCTGGCCTACTGTAGGCTAAGTTGTTTACAAGCTCGTCTGACACTAATTGAACCAATGAGCATTATGACGTGTTTTGCAATGTGTGAAATCGAGTTTGCATTGACATAAAAGGTAACACTAAGCCACTTGAAATTCAGGTTAGGATGGTGCATGGGTGCATTTTCAAAACAAAAGTACTTTGGATTTAGTTTTATCGTCAAGTGATTGGAACATCAAACTCAGATGGTCTATGCAATATCATTTTTTCATCTTAAGTATAATTGATTTGATGAATATTTAATCATTTCCAAACTTCAGATCGGTTCAGAACTATACTCAAACCTCACAACAGAGACTTTTTGAGTTTGGAGTGCGTTCACCTCGCAGTACTTGTTTAGGGTTGGGCTGGTTTGTTTAGACTAAGATGCTTGATTCCAGATTAACAAGGAACAGAATCTCACAGGAATACAGCGAGGAGTCCGTCTTTGAAAGTAAAAACCCATTTGAGAAATTGATTTTTAACAATATACTCTTTATTGGGTGATGCCATTAAAGAACCATTTTGGTTCCCCAAAGAACCATTCATGCAACAGTTCATAAAAGAGCCAATAAATAACTTCTTAATAATCTGAAGAGCTTTTTTCAACTTTTTGTGCAATGGAAAGGTTTAAGGTTCTTCATGGAACCGTTGATGCCAATAAGCTTTATTTTTACAAGCGTAACATATAAATCTTTTAAGAAAGACCTTGTTACACATTACATGTACTTACTATTATAATAACAATAAATTATGCATAACTACATGCAAGTAACCCTAAACCAAACCCTAATCCTGACCCTAACCATATAGTAAGTACATGTAGTTAATTAATATTACTCAGTACTTAAGTGTATAATTACACTGTAACAAGGACAACTTAAAATAAAGTGTAACCAAAACATCCAACTAAAATGTATCAGGAAAAAGGTTCCAAGAACAATTTAAGAATGTTACTAAAAAGTTTTTTCTTGTTCATGTGAACGTTAATAAAACATATACAAATTAAACAAACAAAATTAAAGCAAACTAAAAACGTTCCTTGTGCAATGTATAAACGTTTTGAGAATGTTATTTAAAAAAAAATTTCTTGTTTATGCGAACATTCTTTTTTTTTTTTTTTTCATTTTACAAACATTATGGAAACATTACTTTTGAATGTTTTCTGAACATTTTCAAACAAGTAGTAACGTTTTAAAAAAAAACATTAGACAAACATTTCATAAACAATGTATGAATAACATTTAACATTTAACATTCTATTAACGTTAAAGAAAGAACATTGTCAGAAAGTTCTGAGAACATTTCCTGCTGGGTTGTGCCATAATTTCTGATTCGATTACATCATTTTCAGTGCTTCATGGAATGAACAGTTCATCCCTTCATAGAAGTCAAAACACCTTTGTTTTTTTATGATTTCCAGTCCTTATTTGCATAAAATGTTGTGATTCAACACTAAACTGGTTGGTCTCGTTCATGGCTTAGAACTATTTACTTAAGAATTCTATGTAATCCTTCAACAAGAGAAAGACTTCCGAAATTGAAGCCGGCGCTCACATAATGTCTGCAGAGTGAAGTAGCCTGTTTGCCACGTTCAGCAGTTTTGGCCATTCGGCCTGAGGGTTCCTGGTGTGTTGCACGAACACGCATGCACAGGAGGGGAAAGCAAAAAGCCAAACAGCCCAGATCACATTCCTGGGCCCCTGCGCTGACAAAAAAACAGAAAGCGGAGAATGCAGGGGGAGCGAACGAGGCGGATATTTCCAGCAGTTGCTCTCACTATAATTAGACAGAATACAGGCGAGCCTTCACAGCCATCAATCACACGCACTGCAACACCAAGAAAGGAACTCGTGTCCCGGTGACTGCA